TGGGAAAGGCCTGGGAATGAGAGAGGAGAGAGAAAAGAGCTAGAAAAGAGCTAGAAAATAGCAGAGAGAGAGCGTCTGGGCCTGGGCTAGGCCTTACCTAGGGTATGGGCGGAGAAAGGTGAGGCCACATCAAATTCGGATGTGACCTCAGTGGATGCAGATGTGACCTCTTCCAGGTGTCCCAGTTGCCTAGGTAACGCAGGTACTGGGTGGAGACTTTGCTGTGAGGAGGGTGGAGTCTGCTCGCCATCCAGGAGCGGACCTTACAGTAAGAGCATTAAAGTACGTTTTCTTGACCCAGATCTTTGCTTTTGCTTTAGATTTAAATAAACAATGGGGAGTGAAGAAGGAGAATTATTAAACAGTCACAGTTACAGGCATCCCAGTGGTTAGGTGGTGGTCACAAATGGGTGCTTGCTCATTGATCAGACTTGGCCTTGTTTTTTCTTGTTTTTGTTTTTGTTTGTTTGTTTTAGTGGGTTTTAGGGCTTGAACTCTGGGCCTGGGCACTGTGCCTGAACTCTTCAGCTCAAGGCTAGCACTCTACCACTTGAGCCACAGTGTCACTTCTGGTTTCTTACCATAAGAAAGTCCCAGAAGCCTTGCAGGAAGTAACTTTATCTCACCCTTCCTGGATTCTAAAATGGTGACCAAAGGCTGGCAAAATGACCACAGGAGAGAACAGAACACAAAAAGGAAAAAAAAAAAGGGTTCAGAGACTAAGTGCCCAAGATACAAAAAATGAAGGCAGAAATAATTCCAAGTTTTTTATCCAGTTAATTAGTGGGCCCATCTAAGTTGTTTAGGCCTTTTCAGGAAAAGCAGCTTATGTATCTACCTGTAATTATATGGGGGGGGGGGGGGAGTAGAGCAGCTGAGAAGGAAACACGAGCATTCCATGGATTTGTCCACAAGCTGAAGCAGCTTAAGCTGGGAGTTGGAACAGGTGGGGGTAGGCTGGGAGCGGGGAGTAGAGATAGTAGAACTGTAGGGCTCCATCTCCTAGACTGGGTGAAACAGAAATTCAGTGGCTGGATGAGAAGCTCCCCCTAAGAGTTTTATGTATGGCTGATGAAGAGTTCTCAGAAAGATAAGCCTTAGGCATCTTTCCACAGCAAGAAGTGGCAGAACGGGTTTTGGACAAAAATCATAAAATAGATGAACTTTTTTTGTTGTTTTTTTCCAGTTTGTCCTGACTCACTCAACAGCCCTCTCTTATTCCTCCTCACCAATGGAATCCCACCCATATCCTCACAGTGTTCAGCCTTACTGCTCCTCAGAGAAGCCTGTTTTAGCAGGACAATGGCTTGCCTGAGGAATGAGGCCACCTTTTCTTCTCTCCACCCCATCAAGGATCACATTTCCACCCAAACTTATCTGATCTCATAGTTGCCAGGAGAGTAATTTGGTTGGTGGTGACTCAGCTGTCAGCTATCTTGGGTTCTTCATGCGCTAAAGAAGGGACTTGTTAACCTCAAACATGAGAAACATAAACCCTTGGGTTTCACCAAAAATAAATACTTTCTACCATTTTAATGGTAACTCTCAAATTATACATGGTAAATAATGAATATATTTAGGTTGAGTAAATGCTAAAGATGAGACTGACACCTGTCATTAATGTGACACAAGTTTTTTAACTTTTGTGCTCTGCGGATGCTAAGGGAAAGTTGATCAATGAAGACCTAGCTCCAAGAGCAGCTCTCCTAGTAAATAGTTGGATGTGAGAGGATGTGGCAAAATGCGTCTAATGTGACAATGCTTCAACATTTATGAGTCTGAATGTTTGTTTTTGATGAAAATGTTTCCTATTGGGTTTATGATCCATTGTTATTAGTAAGAGTTTGATTCCTGAGTTCAGACAAAGGCATAGAAAATGGAGACCCTTTAAGCAGATCCTACTAGTTAATATAAACTAAGAAATATCATTTGACAAGAAGATATGTGTGTTTAAAAATGCATCATTTATGAGGTTGAAGAGTCACACGACAGATGCATTAAATCATAATCTAAATGCTAATGTCTTGATAAATTGAAATGGACACAATAAAGAACCACAGAAGATGCAGTGAATTTGGGGCAGAATTCTCACAAAGGTATCTTTTAGCTGGGTGCCAGTGGGTCAAGTTTGTAATCTTAGCTACTCAGGAGACTGAGATAAGAGGATCAGGGTTAAAAGCCATTCTGAGCAGGGAAGTCCAGGAGACTCTAATCTCCAATTAACCATTAAATAGCCAGAAGTGGAGCTGTGGCTCAAGAGGTAGAACAACCATCACAAATGTATCTCTGAAATCATCACATTAGTCAGTCACATATTGCTCACACACTCAGATTTGCTTACTGTAACTTGTATTAGGCGATAATTAATGCACTGGGACGTGCAATCTGGAAGGTGTTTTAAAAAGTAGCTTGAGGATAGCAGTTGTTGGCACCAATGAAATTCAAAATGATGCCAACAGAACCTTATTTCAAATGAAATCATTTTTCCCCTCTTTTGGCAGCAGAAAAAAAGCAGAGTCACATAGTAGCTCTTGATTTATGAACCCTGCCTGCTCACTTTCAGCCCCTCTCACGATTTTAGGCACTTCCCTTTAAGGAAGTGGGTTGGAAACATTTAACAAAAACAAAAAATGTAATCTCTAAAACTGTTCTTTAATTCAAAATCATATTTGCCTTTAAACATCCTATTCTGAGAGAACACTAAATCCTAGAAGAGCTACTATGACGCTCTCCTCTGTTTGGGGTATCACTTAATGACGAGGCAGATTGAAAGCTTCAGTAACTAATAACTGGTGGATACTATGGACCAAATTCATGAAGATACTTTTTCCCACCATCCAAGATGAATTTTGGTGGCCATGAGTCATGTCCTGAAATTATACAATTTTTCTCCCCCAAAGCTCGCCTGAAGTGATAACCAAGAAGTGGTAATTACCCCAAACAGATCTGAAAGATGGGTAGGAGAATGGGTTGATGCAGACAGACAGTAAGAAATCCACAGTGTTTCACAGGATCTTTCAGTCACAAGCACAATCCATCCTTCTAAGGGACCCACTGCACAATGAGTTCATTGTACAATGGGCCTGGTCCCTGGAGAAGGAGAAAAATGATTCTCACTGAGCAGAGGTTAACTCTTTCTGCCCTTTTTTGATGTGAAGATGCTGGGTCATTATTGAGTGATTCATTTCTTTGGTTGGTTCAGAGAGCTCTCAGTGTCAGGGGCAGATTTTTTTCATACTGCACGGTATTTTCCATGTGGCAAATAGAAGAATCTTTTCATATATTATCTGCACCTGCACACCCTTCTCTCACCTGACACAGGGAATTTCGAGCCATTAGAGAACCATCACATCGGCTTCCCTATTTCTTTTTTGCATGGAGTCACTGAAGATGACTTTGATCGTTGCATTTTTTAACATTAACTTTCATAATCCAGCTGTGAGATCCACAGATGTGATAAAGACTATCAATAAGACACATATTTCTGTTTTGATCTTTTGTAGGCTGAATTTTTAGGGGAAAAACACTGAAAGGAGGAAGGGTCCGACTCTATCCTTGCTTTCTCCCTTTAAGAGTGAAACAAGATTAGCAACTTTGGCAAATTTTTGTGTTCCTATTCAAAGAGAAAGAAAAGAGCTGCCAGTGTCCAAGTTAAAAGGATGATAGATGTGAGAAGACAAAGCAGAAGCAACTTTACACCTTACTGAAAACTTCACGGGAGCGTTTTTTTGTTTTTTAACTTCTGTTTTTGTTTTTTGGGTTTTTTTTTCCAACCAAGAGGAAGGGTGGAGCTAAGAGTCTAATCTTTATGGGATGTGCTTGTCATTTCTGCTCTGTCTGGGGAAACACGCAAGAAGAAAAGTCTATGTGGGGAAAAGAAGAAGCAACAGGTGAGAGGTTACCTATTCCAGCAACCAATGGGTACCATTCAGGTTAGCACATAAAGCTAGAAACTGTTGCATCCTTCTTTATAGAAAACTGTTGGGCTTAAGTAGGTGGAAAGCTTATATGATTGCCAGGCCAGTCTCTGGATTCTTGTTTGCCTCTGTATATTAATGATTGCTTTGTTTTGTAGATGCTCTCATGCGAGAAAAGTCTCTGCAAACAAAGCAAGATGTTTTCTGTGTCAGGTCAGAAAGGAGTGAGGCATCATTTGAGGCAATCATTGTGTTTACTCGAGCCTTCTGCATATATCAAAATGTTATTTTCTCTAATTGCATATTTTGTTCCTGTAATGACTGAGTTGAATTCTATGCTGAAATGAGTAATCAATACCGAGTGTTTCTATGGTTCAAAAGGAGTCTTGGCTATTTTAGATGGCATAAAATTGCTCCCAATTTGGCAAACTGCTGGAAAGATGAAATTAAAAGCTAAAGTGGATTTAATGTTTCTATTTTTCTTTCTCCCTCTTTCTTTCTTTCCTTCCTACCTTCTTTCTTTTCCTTCTTTCCTCCCTTCCCTTCTCCATCTTTCCCTCTTCCCTCCCTCTCCCCCTGTCTTTCCTCCTTCCCTTCCCTCCTTCTCACCTGTCTTCCTTTCCTCCCTTCCTCCCTCCCTTCCTTGCCTCTTTCCCTTCCTTCCTTCCTTTTCCTTCTTTCCTTCTTTCCTTCCTCCCTTCCTTTCCTCCCTCCATCCCTTCATTTCCTCTTTCCTTTCCTCTTTCCCTTCCTTTCTTCCTTTTCCTTCCTTCTTTCCTTCCTTCCCTCCCTTCTTTCTTTCTCCTTCCCTCCCTCCCTCTGCTCCTTCCTTCCTTTCCTCCCTTCCATCCTCCCTTTCCTCTTTCTCTTCTTTTCTTTCTTTCCCTCCCTCCTTCACACCTTTCTCTTCCCTCCCTCCCTTCCCTTCTCTCCCTCCCTCCCTCCCTCCCTCCTTCCCTCCCTCCCTTCCTTCTTTCCTTCCTTCCTTCCTTCCTTCCTTCCTTCCTTCGCTCCCTCCCTCCCCTCCCCTCCTCTTCCCTTCCCTTCCTTCCTTTCCCTTTTTTCGTTTTCTTTCATTTTTAGGGTTTGACTGAAACAAAACAAAACACCAAAAAACTCAAGGAGCAGCAGCACGCCTAGAATTCTCTCTTTGCCATCTCCAAACTCATCTGCATGCCCTCGGGGCACCAATAAGAATGAGCTACTACGGCAGCAGCTACCGGGTGGTCAACGTGGACTCCAAGTACCCGGGGTTCCCCCCGGAGCAGGCTATGGCGGAGAAGAGGAGGGCGCGCCGGCGCCTGCTGCACAAGGACGGCAGCTGCAACGTGTACTTCAAGCACATCTTCGGGGAGTGGGGCAGCTACGTGGTGGACATCTTCACCACCCTGGTGGACACCAAGTGGCGGCACATGTTCGTGATCTTCTCCCTGTCCTACGTTCTCTCCTGGCTGATCTTCGGCTCCATCTTCTGGGTCATCGCCTGGCACCACGGGGACCTGTCCAGCCCCCCGGACCTCACGCCGTGTGTGGACAACGTGCATTCCTTCACGGCCGCCTTCCTGTTCTCCCTGGAGACGCAGACCACCATCGGGTACGGCTACCGCTGCGTCACCGAGGAGTGCTCGGTGGCCGTGCTCACCGTCATCCTCCAGTCCATCCTGAGTTGCATCATCAACACCTTCATCATCGGCGCCGCCCTGGCGAAGATGGCCACGGCTCGCAAGAGAGCCCAGACCATCCGATTCAGCTACTTCGCCCTCATCGGCATGCGGGATGGCAAGCTGTGCCTCATGTGGCGCATCGGGGACTTCCGCCCCAACCACGTGGTGGAGGGGACGGTGCGGGCGCAGCTGCTGCGCTACGCGGAGGACAGCGAAGGGCGCATGACCATGGCCTTCAGGGACCTCAAGCTGGTCAACGACCAGATCATCCTGGTCACCCCGGTCACCATCGTCCACGAGATCGACCACGACAGTCCCCTGTACGCCCTGGATCGCAAAGCGGTGGCCAAGGACAACTTCGAGATCCTGGTGACCTTCATCTACACGGGCGACTCCACGGGCACCTCGCACCAGTCCCGCAGCTCCTACGTGCCCCGGGAGATCCTCTGGGGACACCGCTTCCACGACGTCCTGGAGGTGAAGAGGAAGTACTACAAGGTCAACTGCCTGCAGTTCGAAGGCAGCGTGGAGGTCTACGCTCCGTTCTGCAGCGCCAAGCAGCTGGACTGGAAAGACCAGCAGCTGCTCCATGTGCAGAAGACCACCCCCGTGGCCTCGCCCCCGCCAGGGCCCTGCGCCTCCGACCCCAAGGTCAGGCGAAGGTCGTTCAGTGCCGTGGCGGTCGTGAACAGCAAGGGTGAAAACCCGGAGGAGGACAGCACTGGTTACGACCCCCTGGATGAGTACAAGGAAACGCCCTATCAAAAAGCCGTCCTGACTTTAAATCGAATCTCGGTGGAATCCCAGATGTAGCCGCCTCTTGGCCTGGCGAGCCAAAGGGGGACCCCCACTTGGTCTTTTTCCTCTTCCAGCCACTGTGCAAGCATGGATCCCCTCCCCACAAAAAAAGATTAAAGCCATATCTTGTGACGGTAGTCTTCTGTACAGCCTGTTAAAACTACGGTAGGAAGAGATCGTCTAAAGATTCCATCCTTGGCTACTCTTCAAATCTGGGTTTTCATAGAAAATGTTATCCTTGGATGCTATGGAGAAGCATGATCATTGGTGATAAAAATCCTTCTCAGGATCGCCTATGTTTATGTCTATGGTTGGTTCTTATTTATCCGGTAAAATGAGTAAAAATAAATAAATAAATAAAAGCAAGAGGGGATGGGTGAAAATAGAGAGATGGGTAAGGGAGAATGATGAATAAGTTTTTACCTCTATTAAAAAAAATGATAACAAACATAAATGACACCTGATGAAAGGCATCATCTCACCCGACCCAGATACACAAGGTAAGCATGTGTTTGGTGTCAGAAGGCTGAGACCTGGACCATGAGATCTATGGGTTAGTTCCAGTCAAACTGTTTGCCTTTCACGGCACCTTGATTTCATCAGTTAGAGAGAGTGGTGGTTAGAAATGGACCTGGTTATCAATTCATACATTTCTTCCATTGCCCTTTGCTCAGCCATGCTCAGTGAGTGCTAGAAGCTAGTTTGTTATTGTTGTTCTTTGATGTACCTGGCAGAAGACCAGTTGACATCATTATTTAGAACAGTATCTCTCCGTTCTATGATTTGGTTGACCCTCAACCAGGGGGAGAGTGAAAATAACACAACCACTTGTAAGTTCTCTGTCAAGGACCTGCCTGAGCACAAAATTCACAGAATCACAGGGAGGGGCTGAAGCATCTAGCCCCACTGATGGAAAACTTTGCTAGGCTGTTTCCTAAGAGACAGCGTGGTAGCCTGTGGTCTATGAGGCAGAGGCTCTATTAAAGGGGAGGGGGTGGAAGGGCAGGAGGCATTTAATATGCCCTGATAGTGTTAATTGTGCTCTTGATCATTGTGCACCACATTCATGACTTGAGATGTGAATTTTTAGGAAACGCTGAATCTCAAACAATCATTGAAATGGATGCTTTTGTGAAACATAATACAGCGGGGGCGATTCTAGTCTACAGTAAGTGAGAAATCTGAATCTTAAGAGTGTAAAAATGTTAGGATATAAGATCAGCATGTATGCTTTACTACAAGGTTACACAAAGATGTTAAACTTTGATTGTTTTCAGCACAAACCCAATCACCTAGATCACCTAGGAGTGAACAGTCAGCTTTATAAAATGAAGAACTATCAACTACACTTAAATTATTTGTGTGTGTTTTTAGTGGTCCTAAGCTGTCACTATGTACATGCCACATCTTTATATTTTTGATTAACGTTTTCACAGATATGCAGTTTTTGTTTAATCTGGAAATTCCTTTTCCTTCTTCTTCTCTCCCCCAACTTTCTCTTCACTTAAGACTTATAAATAAACTGAACTAAATCACACAGTCCATGATTACTAAGAAAAGCAAAATAAGGTAGGTATAGGGTTTTCTTTTTTCTTTTCTTCTCTTTCTCCCTCTTTCCTTCTCTCCTTTTCCTCCCTCCCTTCATTCCTCCCTCCTCCTTCCCTTCCTTCTTTTCTTCCTTCTTTCCTATTGACCTTGCTTCCTTTTTTTCTCTTTCTGTTGTATAAAGCAATATAGCTACTTTTGAATTAATTCAGGAATGAGAGATTAGTTCAAGTCACAAGTTTTAATAGCAGTCTAACTACTGTACATTTTTTTCTGTATCTTTCAGGAATGCAAATTCCATTTTTTGATTTCACACACACATACACACTGCAGATTTGAATTCTGTGGCAGAAATTAATTGACTGAAGGTTGAAAAGCATTAAAAATACTTTGCTTCACCTTTTTTGGTTGGTATCATTCACGTCCAGTTTTATTTTACTGTTCTGTGGACTCAGCCTGTCTGTCAGGTTTCTGTGATATCAGAATGGGGTCATCAATGCCCAACCAAATAGTTCTATTGTGCTATGTATTTCTAAGCAGAACATAATGCAGAATCAGCATTCACATGTGCTATTTAGGTCTAATTTTCTGCATCGATTTTGTAACGCACTTTGAAACTTCCAATGAGTTGCTGAAATAAAGATCTTAACAAGATGTTAAAAGTGTGTGCATGTATCTATATCTCCAGGAGTGTAAACACTATTTGCTGAGAATCTGAATATTGCCTCCAAAGACAGCACAATGAACTACTTCTATGGGCTTTGGACAGTATGTCGAATGATTGCATTTAAAATAACACATTAGCTGCATCTGTCAGCATCACAATAAAATTTGTGCAAAATAGTATTTATAGTTGTAAATGCTCTGTCAACCTGTTCAGTAAGTTGGATATGATTTTCTTATACAATCTATTTCCCCCCTAAAAATGGCAACTGTTTATAGGAGTTAATTAGATTGAACAATAAATTGTAATCCAGCACTGCCCCACTGGGTGCTATGGTTTGTGAACAGAGTCCTGGAGTAAGGAATAAATCCAAGGAGAGAGGGAGATAGGGTGGGGAAGACAGTCAGGAGAGGGACAAAGGGGAGAGGGGTGAGGGAAGGGGAGGGATGGAGTGTAAGGAGGATGGGGGAGGGGGAAAGAGAAAGGGAAAGAGAAAAGAAGAGTAGGGAAGGAGGAGGTGGACAGAAAGATGGAGAAGAGAGAGAAAATGGGAGAGAAGGGAGAGAGGGAGAAAGAGAAGACAGGAAGAGAGAGAGGAGCAGGGGGAAGCTAATGGGGGCAGGAGAGAGAAAGAGGAAAGACTATGTTCCCTTGACACCAGGGTACTAAGCACACAGATATCTTAGCCTCGCTTAGCCTTATTAGGCTAGATACGACCTAGTAAGGTGGAAAACTGAAATTCCCTTTTCTTTTGGTGTCCAATTGTCTGCTGTTTCCTGACTCACAAGTTCCTCGTTGGAACAACAATATTTTGTTTGTAAATGCAACTATTTTTCCCTGGACATATTTTCTGTTAGATTGGTTTCTTGGTGGTTACATTCGACATGGCTGTCAGCAATGTCAGATGTCAGATTTCTATTGGTGTGGTCTTTATAGAAACTCCTTTCTAGCATTGGCATAGTGGGCATGTATCTTTTCACTCTTCCTCTTCCATCTCTCCTCATCCACACCTCAGATTCATCGCCAGCACCCTCATAGCCATGCTGTGAGAAGTCAAATCACAGAGAGAATGGAACTTTAGGGAGCATTGTGTCTGTAGATGGCATATCTCCAGAATTTCATTAGTGAAATCTAATGCATTTTCTAATGGACACAATGAGCAGTATATCAGAGGAGAATTACCTAGACAACAGGCTGGTAAGAAAAGTAGGTGTTCAGCTTGTGTCCTACTTGTACCCCATGCCATTTTGCTGGAGTTGATCACTGTGAGCACGACATATTTTCTGGGGAGTTGAGGAAATGCCACTGTGAGTGTAAAATAAACACAAAGGTATTTCTTTGGGGCTTGAAAATGCCCCCAAGACACTTGGATTTGAGTGAGCTTGATAACAGGATTGACCAGGCTTGCTGGGGACTGCTCTTGATCTTCTTCATTCCCTGAAACAGAATTCCATAAATTCTGCCTGTTAATGGGGCTTTCGCTATAGCTAATGACCTGAACGCACAGAAGCCTGGGACAAAGCAAGCATTGTACAGCTCAGAAAATAAAAATAAACCCCCCGCAAAACAACAACAACAAAACCTGCGTAAGTTGCCTCAACAAACCTACGTCAACACAGGATATTTGCTGAGACCTTAAATACAACTCAACCAACCTCCATTCTTATTTGGAACATGGGCATTTCTTATCTTGGAGTTGGAAGCTAGGATCCAAACATAGGAAACTCTCTAGGTGACTTCTTTTTAACTGAATAGGCAACACATTCTGAACATATTCTGAGTCTCAGCCACCACAGACTTGGGATTCTTCTTCCAAAAGTCTTCGCAAGGCATGCTCAAAGCTCTGTGATTTTTGTTGCTTGCTTTTGTTTTTGTGCCAATATAGGGACTTGAACTCAGAGTGCTCTCCTTTCACTTTTTCAGCCTAATCCTGAACCACAGAGCCACATCTGGCTTTTTGAGTGTTCATTGGAGAGAAGAGTCTAACAGACCTTCCTGCTACTAAATAAGCCTAGAATAAATGTGGGAGAATCCAAACTATACTTTGTGCACTGGAAAGAATGTTAGCAAATGCACCTGAGATAGGGACAGTTTGTTTTCTCTATTGCATCACATGTTTTAGTAGGAATGTATTTTTCGTAGGAATATCCTACTTAAATCTGACTTAGCTATATGCTGGTGGCTCATGCCTGTAATCCTAGCTACTCAGGAAGCTGAGTTTGAGGATCATAGTTTGAAGTCAGCCCAGGCAGGAAAGTCCATGAGACTCATATCTCCAATTAATCACAGAAAAAGCTGGAGAAATGTGGCTCAAGTGGTAGAGTGCTAGCCTTGAACAAAAGAGGCTGATGTCTAGCACCAAGTTCAAGCCCTAGGCCCTACAAGAACAAAAGCAAAAGACAAAATCTGCCAAAAATGGACTCAAATTCCTATTGCATACCTCAACAGGTGTGTAGACTTGAAAAAAATTTTTAGCTGTCACTCAGCTTCTTCCTGACAATATGTTCTTGTGGGCTGTTTTAGTCTCTTCAGTAGTACTGTGGCACAATACCAGGGACTGGAAAATTTATAATGCATATATAATTAAGAGAAGTAGAAATGGTTCTAGAAACTGGGACAATTGGGACCAAGGACACAGCATCTGATGAAGGCCTCACAGCTACAGCTTCCTATAGCAGATATTAGAGGAACTAGAGAAGATGCGGGGGAGGGAGGGAGAGAAAGAGAGAGGGAGGCAGATAGTGCAAAGAGGAGCAAAGTCACCATTTTATGATTCTATTCCCATTGTAATAGCATTAATCCATTCATGAAGAGAGTTGAACCCTTATGGCCTAGACACCTCTAAGGGCTTCATCTTTTAATACCCTGAACAACAGCCACTAAACTTCCTTAGGTATTAGAGAGAATAAATACCCACACCTTAATACGAGTGAATCATTTTTCTGCCCACACGTGCATATGTCTACATACATGTACACATGCAACTATCTAGCAGGTAGGAATTGCTCAGCAAATCAGTATTCTATTTCCTTTCATATGTATTTATGATAGCATGCTTCTGAGCAATTTGAAATCAGAAACATAATTATCTATAGGAGAGAAATTCTTCATAAATAATCACAAAAGAGTTGTTTTAACACATCCATGATTTCATCTTGAAATAGTAATGGAAGTCTGAGGCCATGTTTCTAAATATATTGTTCCTACTTCCAAGAGATTTCCATCTCAGTTCTGCTACTACTGGGCTGTGAGTTTTGGGAGGAAAGACTTTACCTCTCTGACCCACTAGTTTTTTTTTGGGGGGGGGGTCTGGTCATGGGGCCTGAACTCTGGGCCTGGGTGCTGTCCCTCAGTTCTTCAGCTCAAGGCTAGCGCTCTACCACTTGAGCCACAGCGCCACTTCTGGCTTTTTTTCTTTTTGCTTATGTGGTGTTGAGGAATCAAAACCAGGGCCTCTGGCATGCAAGGCAAACGCTCTACCACCGAGCCAATATGTACGACATGGATATTCCTTAATGATGTCATGGTTCTTTGTAGCTAAATTTGAAGATGATAATAACAGTAATAATAATAAAACTTTAAAAAAATATACCATGATTTTTCTTCACTCTACTTCCACTCCTTTTATCCCCTCTTACTGGCTTTTTTGCTTTTTTCATAGATAGATAGATAGATAGATAGATAGATATAGATGAAATAGATAGACTATATCCATATGCATGTATATGTATATATAATGTCTGAGTATTTACATTCTGTCAAATTCACATGTGAAAGCTGAATGCCCAAAGTGATCATATTAAGTGGTATGCCACTTGGGAGGTGATCAGGAGTGCAGAGCTCTCAGGAAAGGCCAGAGTGCTGTGACGGAAGAAGAGCTCTTCAAGGCTTCTCTTCTCTCCACCACATAGGCACAGAAGCCTCTGTCTATGAGCCAGAACCAGGCTGACATCTGGGCCTTCTCCACATCAGAAATAAGAGTCCCACTGCCAATTAGCCACCTCATTTATGAGGTTTCGAGCAGCCTGAATGGAGAAAGCACACGTCACTTTTTCTCTTCTCAAAATTATTCCCTGTTGGATCAAATTTGTCTGAGAAGTTCTGATTTTCAGTTCTTGTATGCACCTTTGACAAACATCTTTAATGTATACCTAACGTGACATACATTGTACTCTCCCCATAGTTAACAAACTGGAAATTAAATTATTGTAGCAATTGAATTTAGTTTCCAGAACTGCTGGTATTTCTCTAACATTAAGCCTTTGTGAGTTTGGATGTATTGGAGTTTGAACTCAGGGACTCACACCTGTTAGGCTTGTGCAGTACCACAGAGTCACACCTTTACTGCTGCTTTTTGCTGGTTAGTTTTAACATAGGGTCATGCTTCCCACCCAAGAGCAAGACGCATCTTTGGGAATGGGGGAAA